CCTGCGCCGCGTCCCATTGGTCGGCCGCCAGCCCACCGCCGCGCCGGCCGGCTCTCCTATGAGGCTTCTGGTCTGACGGTACCCGCCGCTAACCGGATCAACTCTCAGTGGTATCATCCTCTTGGAGGTCACACCGGGCACAAACCACTACAGTGTTGTAAAGCTTAGGAGTGTTGCCATGCTTATGCATTACGCATTACGTGCGTTTCTATGCTTGAATAGCGTTTCTAGGTCTTCAGATTACATTGCATAACGTTTTTGCCAATGATAATGGGTCTGTTCCCGTTCTTATGGATGCATGGTGGCAAAGATATTTGCTATTAGAATGAAGAACTGAGAAAAATGAATGAGCGTTTGAACGTTGATCACGTATGTACAAATGGACGAGAATATTATTTTTTCCGACGCTGCTGAAGTGGGAGGGAGACGGTTTGCATGTGTACGAGTACACTGTACTTACCAGGCAACTGACGTCTTATCGCTGATTTTCGATAAAATGCGTTTTACTCGATGTTATAGCGCATTCCCTAGAAGACCCGTGAACGGCAAAACATTTTATCTTTGATCTGATCTGTGACCCTGAGGTCAATGAAATTGGATTTCCTTCAACAAATTTGACAGGGCTATCGAAAACCGTTTGAATTTTGTGGATTCGTCCATTAGCTTCGGAGACACGAAGGGGGGGGGGGTAAAAAATTAGGCCCCCACAAGATCGCGTTATAAACAGACCCCACCGGGGCGCGGGTTAAAGGGACCCTCCCGGTTCCCATCTTCAATAAAGTTTACCTTCGCCCGTATTAGTGTTTTTCCAGCCGCGAACGTATAAGGGGGGGGGGGGGTCCGTTGGACCCCTCTTGCCGTTTCGCCCCTGGGCCCTGATCGAGATAGAGCTTCGCGGAAAAAACGAGCGTGTTGCCCGTGACGAGAGAAAGCCGATGATACCTAATTTTAAGGTCCTAGGTCATTGGTTGACTTTCCAGGTCAGGCCAATGACCCAAAAGTCGGTAAAATCGGGACCTGTTAGAACGTCGTAAAGTGTGGCTGTTATGGTTTTTTTCGGGGTGCTGATCACGAATACCATGCTTGATGCTAGTTTTTATCACAGATGATGTCTTCATGCATTTGGGCCAATGGCGGCGCCACCGTAGGGGCAGTGGGGCAGACTGCCCCCACTGACAGGAGGCCGTGGGGGCAAATCTATATTTTTGTCCCCACAAAATTTGGCTGATGTTGAAAAGGGAACAGAAGAGCTATGCAATATTCCTGATATAGGTAGGACTTGTGATGATGCAAACGAGGCTACACAACTCCAGTGCAAAGCTGCGGTGATGTGATGATGGCAAAGAAATTCCTTTATTCGCCATAACATTTCCTTCATCTGGACAATTTTGGATGGCAACGGCTAGGGGCAAGGTGCTCCTGGATTCTGCAGATCGGGGTGTCAGACAACAGTAGGGTCACCTCAAGCTTGCCCCCACTGGCGAAAATCCGTGGCGCCGCTACTGATTTGGGCCAGGCCGGGTCAGGTCAGGTCAGGTCAACCAGTAGTGGTCCTGCCGGGTATTCGTAGTAGGTAGGTGTCAACCGCCTCTGACAGCTTTGTAACATGTTACGTTACGAAGGCACCAAAACTACTTCGTAAATGTTCATCTGGCTGCTAAATTCGAATTCAGCTCCAAAAACTAGCCTAGAAACATGTAGGGGAGAGTGGGGTAAAGCGGACCACTGGGGCAAAGCGAGTAGCGAGCCACCCCCTCTGAAGCCCCAATAAATGACCCCTTTCAAAAAGAAAGATAGCCATTAACAATGCCTTATGTTGGCATATTTCTTGTCACAGTGGCTCGGCTCTAGGAATGCACGTTTTCAACACAGGGCCAGAAATGTGTTATTTTAGCATGAAATGTCTACCAAATTTAAGTTTAGCTACGAAGCTAAGTCAAGATCCGCACTATCCGTCACAGAAGCAGAATGGTACTTACTAGTGATGTCAATCGCATACCAACTTCTTGGTATATCGATACCAAACCGATATCAAGTTGGTATTTGGTACTTCAATCCGATTGTTTTTGGTATTTGGTATCATGAACTCTTGCTAATGTATACAAGGTTGAAAAATCGGTAAAAAGTTGGTATTTTCCTCATGTTCTCAAGTTGGTTCGGTTTCGGTATTTCCTGATGGTTTTGGTTGGTATTTGGTTTGGTATCGGTATTCCGATTATCTGTGATTGACATCACTAGTACTTACGCATTTCGGTTTGGCACGAACCCGAAATGGTTCAGCACACTGTGTTGTCGGCAATGCCTACTCAAATGCAGAATTTGGGAGTGGGTAAGGTGGACCATTAATAAACACACTCGCCCCTTTATCAGAAAATTCAGAAAAATGCGATAGGCTGAAATTGAATTCCTTGTAGCTAGCAGATGAATTAACCCGCGCATGACTGGGGGAGGGGGGGGGGGGGCTCTACAGAGCCCCCTCCCGTTTTCAGCAATATCTTCTAAACCGTTTGACGGATCAACACGAAACTTGCGATACCCTCAGCGGCTTCAATTTGACACCTTGTGTTAAAATTTCAACTTTCTAGCTACCATAGTTTGTTCGGAAATGACGTCAGAGTGACATCATGCCGGCCGATTTTGAATTTTGATGCAAAATATTGAGTTACGGCAAACGCTCTCAAGAGCTTAGTTTTCAAGCTAGATCCAATTTCTTTGTATCAGTGGCCTACAAATACAGGTTGCTATCAAACTGCTAGGTATCACGAATTTTCGAAATTTTGAAAAAATATGTTTTTACAAATTCAAAAAAGTATTTTTTTAATTTTTTCAAAAAGTCTTTGATTTTTCGCAAAAACAGGAACATATGTGATAGAACACACACTGACGCTGATGAACCACTCCAGCAAGTTTTAGCCCAATATCTTTGAAAATATGCCACGTTATTTTTTGACATCGTAGAACAACATAAATGGCACCATCGTGTTCCTGAGCTCAAACTGCATCTGATAGGCACCTTTTTTGTTAAAAAATTCTTTTTCAAAATTTGACCTTTTCTGGCCTGAAAGTGACCTGACCTCGGGTAAATTCAGCTGAAAAATGACCTCAAATGACACAAACGACATTATGTTCGAAATATACGAGTAAAATGGACCATAAACATGCGTCACGTGACCGAAACATGATATACAATTTTTGTGACCTAAGATGACCTGGCCAGTGGCCTTGGCCTGAAAAATTCGAAGAAAAAGTTCGTTGCTCTCAGGGTATCTAAGGCATATATCAAGGACTGCGTAAACCAGAAATGAGCCTGATCGGACTTGTCAGCCGGCGGTCAGAGCCTAAATGATAATTTTTACTTTGACCTGACCTGTGACGTCATCGGTGACCTCGAGGTCAATGAAAATAGGTTTCGCTCGACAGTTCTTCTAGGGGTAGGGGAGATCCGTGTAAGACGCCCAGGGTCGGTAAGAGGCCCCATCGCTTTTTTTACCAAACCAATAATGTTATTTATTTTTTAATGTTCTTGTAAAGCAGAAGCCCTCTTGAAACAACAACTCACGAAACCTGAGGTATCAGGTGCGTCGCAGCGACTTTTGGTAAGCCTGTTTCTGTTTTTGCCCCTTTACTTGCTAGATATATGCATCTTTATCACCCTTATATATCTGAAAAAACAATGGCTATCAAATGCAATCTTTTCTCATCGAAATTGTCACATGTTAGCTTCAGAATAGACCATGTTCTGGTGCGCTGCAAATGTCTCATAAACCATAAATATTGTGGACGTTAAAACACTGTATTTTTTTAAGAGGCCCTCCCTTCGAGGATGATAAAACGCCCCCCGATAAAAAACGCCCCCGATGCTAAAACGCCTGCACCTGCGGCAGGCGTGGCATTCTTTTTTCAAGGAGTTTGTTTTTGTTTCTTTTTTCTGTTTCTTTTCTTAGAGGTTATAGGTACAATTTTCGTTGGTCATCAGCGTTTGGTTGTGCTAGTTTTCGCATTGTTCGAGCGCTTTGGAAGTGTTATTGGTTTCGATAACACCGTATTTGCTTAGCTTTTCGAAATAAAAGGCCTTGCAGCTGTGTTCGCAAAGCTTCTTTTACAAGTCGACTTGACTTTTAAAACGCCCGAGGGGGGGGGGGCGTCTTACCATACCCATAGTGTAAGAGGCCCTTTTGCAACTTTTTCCAAAATGTTAAAGTTTACGGTTTGTGTACCCCCTAGATTCATTTTGAATGCAAATATGTATGGGAAAATGATGCAAGCTCACAGCGCATGCACACGTTAGCGCTTAAATATTATCAGTTGTCTAAAAATAGTAACTGAGCTTAAGGGGGGGCCTCCTGCACCACTCTCCCCTATAAGACGCCGTTTGAATTTTGACAATCAGCCCAGTAGTTTCGGAGATAGGGGGGGGGGGGGCTCTGGAGAGCGGCTTTGAGGCCATCTGAGGGCCCTTTGACACCAGATGAGGGTCATTTGACGCTAACTGAGGGCCCTTCGAGACCATCTGAGGACCCTGTGACGCCATCTGAGGGCTCTTTGAGGCCTTTTGAGGGCCGTTGAAATTTCACCACAATCACCCTGGCTGTGCTACTGGGCATATCATAGACTCATATGGGCCTGCTGGGGAGCGAGCTGGGCCCTCCCGGTCTTTTCAATCATTATTTCAGCTCATTTTTACACGGTCTTCGGTGGTCTAAGGATTAGGGGCCCATTTTGAGGCGGCCGCCTCAAAATGGGCCCCTAATCCTTCGACTTGGGCCCCCAACTCGAATGGGGGACACGGGCCCGTGTGCCCCCCCCCCCCTCCCCTTGTGTGCGCCCTTGTCCCAATCGATCAAAGCCACAGCATGCCACAGCGATTACAAGGCGGATCGGCGCAAAAGCTGATGGATGAATGAAGACAAATATTTTTTTCCTCTAAGAGAATAGGTAAAAGTTGGAAGCAAAGTACAAAACCGCGAAACAGCTGATGACTTGAATATGACGCAGTAGACGTACCTGGCGCGCGCTGTTTTAGAGTGTAATGACTAATGAAAATAGGCAATTAATTTCTTAATTGTGTAGGTAACTAAGCGTGTGCTTGATATCTGGAAGATAAATAATTGTTTCCAGAATCCGGGGATCATTCGGTTATGTAGGCAGACACGCTGCACAACGAAAATGACGACGAATAAATCCCAGGCTCCACTACGCGATCCGTGTGATTTTGTGATTTTGAGATATCGCGTTGTCGCATAAAAACTGAACTTCTTTTGCGATAATGCGGTATTGCGAGACATTTAATAATGTGATTTCCGCAGTGTGGGTCAGGACATCTGGTTGCACGAGATGAACATTTTCTGGCATCACCAAGATGCCAAGGGCATTGCATTCTCGCATTATCACAAAATCACACAGAAAGTCGCGTAGTACAGCCAAACCATTATTGAAACTAACAATCTAAAAATGTGATAAATCACACTTCACAGCAATTATTCCTGTAATGCTGTGAATAGGTAACAATGATACCAGAAAATTATCCATCATTTTCTGGATATCAAACCCATGTCAATGTCTAGTTATCATAACATTTTCCAAGCTGAATCATTCATTAAAGGGACCCTCCCACCTTCAAAAAAGTTAATGAATTGGCATGAAAGTGATGTCGCTCGATTCAGAAAGAGCAAAAACAAATATCTACCAAATTTCACCGAAAAATATTCACCAGTTTTCAAGGTATTAGACTTTTACTTTTGTTTACTTTTTTGGGATCTCCGCTGTTCCTAGCGACTTCATTTTGGAAGTGCGCGTTTGGGGCAGATGTTGCGCGCAAATAGCATATACCACCACTGCTTTACAAAGATTTTAGTATAAGGTTTAAAATCGTTAGATCACCGCTGACGTCACAAATTCTAACGGGGCATCTCAGTGCATTAGCCCCTTAGAATCCGAAAACTGCAAGTTTGAAATTCCATATCTCTGAATTAAAGCATTTTTCGATGTTGTCAGTGCCCAAGCCAGTATTTGCAGGCCATGGCCACCAATTTGGCTATCTCAACTCAAAACTAATGTTAAGGTGGGATGGTCACTTTAAATGTTTTCCACAGTTTCACCTAGCATCTTTAGTACCTATTTGAAACATGTTGAAATGTCTATTTCAAGCAAATTGAAAGTTGAAATGTCTCAAACTGAATTGTGTGATTTGGCTATTCAGTATTCTGGTTCTTATCTCGTGTTTAGTAGCTCAGCTTGGCTGAGAAAAGCTAATAATTTGAATTAAAGCGGAAACTGACTTGTTTTCTGTGTGATAGCTGTATAAGGTTAGACTCATATTTCTAGTGCTAGGTACATACTTGTATAAAAGTGGTGGTACTGCCAGGCAGGTACCTACATATTCATTGTGAAACAATTTTGTAGGGATGTCAGATTCAGTTTTTTTTTATATGTATCTGGGGTTGTCATGCCTTCCTGCAATTGCCATTCACAGTCAGTCTTCTCATAGATGATGGTGTTAACTGTTAACTCACAATAATGTTTCACTTTCAGCACACCAGGTACTTGATAGTGCACCCTGCACCTCGTGGCCCCCGGCTGTCTATTCCACCCTGGTGGCTGGTGCCACCTGACCATCACCCAGCTGCCCGGCTGGACAGGCTGCTGACTGCTGGGTGATGTAACTGTGCAACCTGGAGCATCTTGCTGGGTGGGCAGTTCAACTCCAGACAAAATTATTACTTCTTGGGTCAAATTGTGGCTTCTCTGGTCAATCATGGCTCCTGAGCTGTTACCCAGTCAGCTAAATTGGTCTGGGCTGTATCTGGTTTTACTCTGGCTAACTCCTGTACCTACTTACTTTGGCTGAGGAAAAGGTCAGGAGCTTTACTGGAACTGACACACAATTCCAGAGCTTGCCCGCACCAAAACCGGATTTGGGCCATATTAGTTGTGCCATACCTGAACCACATTTCATCCACAGTAAGCCAGAGCAATGCATATTCTCCTTGTTGCACCATACGCGAAAAAGGCATGTAAGAAGTGAATTTTTCCAATAAATGACACGAGTCAATGTAAAAAAGTCAATGGGGGTTCCAGGGAGCCAAACTTGTCGGACTTAGTGATCCGAAAACCATACCAACTACGGAGTGCTACTGCAAAGACTGGCTCACCGGAATTGCGTCACATCGACCCAAACCCCTGTTCCGACGGCGTTCCGTTTACACCGTCCCAAATCTGGCATGGATCGGGATTGCCAGGGCAAAACGGACTTGAGCCAAACCAAATGGCTGGCTGGGTATTAAAGTTCAACTTTCAAGTCAACCCAGGTATCATGGTAGCCCCCAATGATACTTGGTCATTAAATAATCGCAAGCATCAGCAATTGTCCTGCTTTGGTCTTTGCTACTGGAAGGCTAGAAGGAGTGTTTATCAGCTACAGGAACACAGACTTCGAACCAATTATATTTTTCAGGGTGAGGCAATGAAGGTTGACCATTGATTTTCAGATCTCAACATAAATCTGCAAGGTTTACTGGATTTTAAGTTACAATGACTGTTGAGAATTAACTGGATGCAGAATGGAGCTGCTACCATCTGACGTTGCACGTCTGGTTCTGGGCAAGTGTTTCTTAGTGGACAGCCTATGTGAAGTGGTTATATTGGTGCATAGACCTCTGTCTGTATACCTACCTCTGTATACAGAGGTCTATCATTGGTGATTATTTTAGTCTATCTATCATCACATAATGCACGGTGCTTGACTTAATATGGAGAGTAAATTTGCTACAAATAACTCGCTTTGCTGTGGTTTGACAGGCATACCGCATAATCCTACACTCTCCTGTAAGAAGGCACATTTACCAAACTATCATATTGTGATTTGTGTGGCTGTTTGTTGCCAAACTTCAAAGGCCTTGCCTATCTTCATGAAGTCTCTATTCTCGCAAATGTGGTCTGAGTCCCGGAACCAGTGCCGCCCATTCCTCCGACCGTGCCCTATTAAGACTGGTTTCCGCTGCTGCAGGGTACCTGCTGGACACTTGCCCGGACCTGGCTGCCCAGTTCCTGGACCAGTCCCCCGACCTGGCCGAGGTGCGCAGGACGAAGCGCCGCGCTCAGAGACCGTTCGGCCTGTCGCTGGTCGAACTGCTCACGGAGCATGCCGTCGCCTTCAGTCTTGGTGAGTGGGCAATGGTGAATGACGCTAGGCTAGTTTGGAAAGTAACGATAGACAGATAATTTTAAGCATTTCAATGCTTTTTTAGTTTCATCTGAGTTTCAAGTATTTTACGACATAACTTGTAATTATGCCGATAATATTTATAGAAGAGTAGCGATCTTTATCTTCATTACATGGGCGCTTGCTTTCCCAATCTCATTTCAGTACCAATTAGGGCAAATATTGGTAGATGTGCTAATGTGAAGTGCCTGTCACTTTGCCTGGAATGCCGAAGCTTTTAGTGTTCCTATTTTCAAGTCGGTCGGAGCTGCGTTTGTCATGACATTCCCCGGCCCCTATGTCCTCGCATGCCCATATTGGCGCCTGTAATGTTTCTATTTCACGTGCCAACCCCTTCCTTTGCTTTTTCTTCCAGTGGATGATGCGTATTCTACCATGAAGCCACCAGGTGCCCGCACGGGTAACGGCGACTTTCTCTCCAAGCTGCGCCGACTGCTGTCGGTCATTACAGAATCGAAGGTCAGTAACATTCATAGGGAGTGTGCTAATTTTTGGAGTGAGTTCATCTTACAACAATGTGCCGCAAATTTTTCGAATTTTAGCAGATGATAATTGATTAAAATAGATAATGTGTAGTTTTATTGTCAGTCAAACGCTGGGTACCTCTCACTCATTACGTTTCTATGACACGTCTAAATCGATTTAGAGAAATTTCACGTGCGTTTTCCCGGATACTATTCACGTCATGCACAAAACGACTCTGTTGAAACGACTATGAAGCGGGGGTCGTTAAATGTCAAAATAGTGAGCGTCAACTCTGTTGCTGTGTATTTCAATGCCATCCCTGATTTATGTCTCCAACGATTTATGACTCGCAGGCTGAGTCAGCGGGGGACGCTCTGGTCCATCCGGCCTTCCCGACACCCGAATCGTCCACGGGTGCCGACAGCGCCAGCCAGGCCACCACTGCCAGTCAGTTGACGGCCGACGGGGTGTCCGGCGCCGTCGACGGCGACGACCCGGCTGTCGGCGGCGACTGGGCCGACACCCCGACCCGGGAGGCGGCGGCGGCCGACACCCCGGCCCGGGAGGCGGCGGCGGCCGACTGCCCGGACACCGCCGGCCAGGAGTCGCCCTGCAACTCGCTAACACTGGTGCTCGACGAGGAGTCAGGGGAGGAAGACATGAAGGACAGCGAGCCGGGTGGTGGGACGGGCGCCGTGACCCAAACACACATCGCCTCGGTGAAGAGTACTGCGGAAGGGGATGGACAGTCAGTGGAGAAGACCAGAGACTGTGTCGGGGAAAGTTCGTTCTCTGATGGAAGCGGAAGCGGCCATGATGGCTCAACTATGTCAACCCGAGCAGGAAGGACCCGGAGGAAGAACCGCCCAACCCGCCGCGCCAATCCAGAGCTGAGTAGCGACAGGTGAGACCAGCTCAGCCACCTTGTTAAGTTGTTCTGGAAGCATAAATTGTCAATCTATCGCTTATTTGTAATTGAGTTTTGGTTGGGTGTGTCGATGAAGAAGGAAAAAAATCCTGGGTCGACAATGAAAGTAAATGCCTATTGTATTTTCGTAAAAGAACCATTTTTAACGCCGATTGATAAAGCATGATTTCATGTCAGGATCTTGACAGAATATGAAAGACGAGGATATAGATGCATCAACTGTCCATTTGCAACCTGGCTTTTCGAATGCATGAAGCAGTTGTTTTTCAAAGATGAACCAACGCCACTTGTTCTGATCTTTGGGATGAAAAAGTTTTCCCATTGGGTGTGCTTTTCCACCCAAAACTCTGAAAAAAGGAAAATGTATTTCTTTCACTAAAACTTTTTACCAAATTTCAGCAATGACTTTAATTTATGCTCTTTTCAGGAATATAAGCCAAGCAGTAGACTGGCTCTATGGCCATGTGCGACATTTGCCGACGGTGAGTGTGCGCTTCGTTGACACGCTAGTGTTTATTATTTGTTTGCCATCTGAAATGTAGGTCACATATAACATCGCACTATCTGCTACTGCTTATTATGTTATTCTTATTTTTTATATCCGTCGTGCAGAACTATCAATGTTTCACGAAAATGCGCACGCCTGATTTTCGCAGATTGCTTACATCTCTTCGGGGCTGGACAATGGACTGTCGACTCAGCAGCTCTTGAAGGAGCCAGGTAAGTGTGAAACAGTTTTTTTTCCGGTCTCGAATGTTCGGATGATCCCGTTGCCAAAGCCGAAGCCCACGCTAGGCAGAGCTCGTTGCGCAGGCCCTGACCCCTACCGTCGGATTGGACAACTCCACGTAATTGGGGAAATTAGATGCTGAAGTTCAACGTGCCCGACAAAGTCTGGCACAGCCTGCCCCACTTAATTGATCTCAACTGACTGTGGCTGCTCCCACCAACCGCAGACCGTCCGCGACAGGAGTCTCGCATATCGAGCATTAGAGCGACTTGAGCCCGGGCTCTCACCACCAGAAGTCTAACGCTCTACCAACTGAGCTAGGGGACAGTTGATGTGATATATGGGCTATGGATAGGGGGGGGGGGGGCAACTCACTCAACTTTTTATTTGAAATATTTGTTTTGCCGACTTGTCATATCGCATAAACAGCAGATTTGGGATTGGTGTGCGTGTGAAAGTCGTTCACATCTCACATTATGCCGTACTTTTTCAGAGCGGCTCAAGTCGCAGCCGTCTGGGCCGGAACACCGCGACACCGCGCGCTCGACCAACTTCGACACGGCGCGGCCGTCACCTCCCGTGAAGTCCGAGTCCCCGGCCAGTGGCGTCGGCCCGTCTATCGTGCGGGTTATGTGTTCAGCTCGGCCCCCGACTCGTACTCCTCGTGCGCCGACGGCGACCGTCGACACACATGCGTCGACGACAAACGGGAGTCTTTTACAAACGCGGAGAAGGCTGTCGGGCTGTAAAACGACCGTGGTGCAGCCCAGGGACTCTAGGAGCCGCTCCCCCCTACGCGGCTCACCAGCCAGTACTTCGGAGCCCAAGTTACCGACAGTTCAGAGTGAGAGAGGCCTAGCTGCATCCGAAACTGCGACAGGCAAATCGTCAAAGTCTCCGGCCGCGCGACGGGGAACCACCCGTCGACCCATGCGGCCCTCTGCGACCATAGGGGGCACTCGCGTGGCTACATTTTCTGACTCAAGTTGCACAGAGGCGCTAGTATCTCTCAGCGAGTGCCATGAATCACCTCGCGGTGAGGTTGCCAAGAGTCGCCATTCGACAGCCTCGGGCAGCGACGGCAGTCCCTGTTCCTCCTTGGCAGATAGCACCACTAGCACGGTGCGGTGGTCGGACACGAGCCCTGCTGAGAGCACCGCTAGCACGGTGCGGTGGTCGGACTCGAGCCCTGCTGGGCACCGCAGTGACACCTCGCCGACTCCGCCGGGCAGTGCCAGCAGCGGACCGAAATCACGACCGACAGACGGCGCTGATGTCGCGGCACCATCGCCCAGTCAACTCTCAGGCCGCGCGAGTGAGGTGTCTGAGCGGACCACGCCGTCTAGCCAGCGCTCCCTGCGCATTATCCCGACGCCGCTAACCGAGGGCGTCAAAACCCCGTCGCTGAACGGATCGCTTGGCGATATTGAAACGCCCACGTCAGCCCGACAGGGCGGCCGCCGCGGAGCCCGCTCAAGTATGTACGAGGGACTGGAAGGGTTGGAAAGGCATTCATGAGATGAGATGGGAATGTATCCACCATATATCAGTCGTAGGTTATGGCTAGCCCAGTGATAGGGATTGGGGAGTTGATAACTATTGGACGTCTCGGGACGATACGGTTATAATTGCTTTTATTTACGGTGGGTTAAGACGTAGAGTTAAATTATGAGGTAGTATTTTAAGGTGTATGTGTGTGCAAATTGCATGGACTGGGCGTTCTGGCGTGGCGTCCCCCGACCTCGTACCCTCGTAACCCCACCTCTCGTGCTGGCAGGAGGCCGGTCAGGGCCCCGGCGTGCGACCGCACCTCGCCGCCGCCTGATGGCCGAGATCCAGCGCCGTGTCGAGTCGCCCCGAACGCCGCTGGAGCCCAGCCGTCCGAAGGCCGAGCCCACGCCGTCGACACAGTCCACCGCCGCCGACAGGTGAGCTGGGACGAGAGAAACGCGTCCGGCCCCATATTACGGCCATGCTCTTACGAGATAAAGATGAGAACCGGAATGTCCTGAAATCCTGGAAATCCTTATGTGAATCAAGGAAATCCTTATGTTAATTTGGACTTGCGTTGTTGCGTGCTTGTATTTCTTACATTATTATTACAGAGTTTAAAAGCAAAATAAGTTTAATGTCTCTCTCTACCACCACCAGTATTATTGTATTGCATTGCATATTCAATAAATTTTAGTGGACAAGTAGCTGGAGATGGACCGGTGCGCCAAACGTATGAAAGGATGACTGTTCTGAGAGTGTTGACCCTTGTGCCAAGTGTACAACCAGCTTGCACGGTTTCCGGTCTGTTTGGTGCGTGGTGCTTTCTGGGATTCCTACTCAGTGTGCTTTTGACTTTTCATCATTTCCTCGCAGTACCATATACGTTGTGCTTTAACGTAAGCAAGCTTTAACGTTGCGCACTATTTGTAATAGGCTCTAATGTCATGATCGGTGCCCAGTCGAGACGTCCATAACTCAGCTGCGTTCGGGCGCCCCGGAACCCAGCTCGTGACTTAACCAGTGTCTGTACCCCTGGTGCAGGCTTTCTCTGCGACTCTAACTGCCCACGCTGACGATACACTCTTACCTCCCCTAGGTGCAAACCCGGCACGGCCGGAGATGAGGTTGGTGACGGCAGCACTCGCTCCGGTGGGGTGTGCCGCACCGCGCGCGGGGCCGCCCGCCGTGCCGGACGGCCTGCGGTGACCTCCAGTGACCCGGTGGACCAGTCGGCACCGGACCACACCCACCAGCCGGGGGTGAAGAGGCCGGCCGTCGAGGGGTCGCCCGGTCAGCCGGTGAGTTTCCTGAGGATGGGGCAGGGGACAGGTGGCAGTCGGTCACAGGAGCGACGGCCGGACCAGGTGCAGAACTTGAAAGGGTAGGGATTGTGAGACCATGAGCGGAAGGCGGGTAGAGTATGCTGCTTTCCGTTGACAATTTAAGCGGACTTAAGCGGATATTTACTAGACCGTAGGTCATAGTTTATCTTGCTTGAACAGAGCATAGCCGACGTGGGTCGCACGGGAGCCAAATATCTTCGCTGGCTGTCATCATTTTGGTTTAAACGTATTATTATGTCTGCAGAGTGGTTTGGAATACCGGCTGTGTCCTTCACTGTAACGTTTGGTGTTATCGACTACAAATTACTTTTCCTGCTTGTTTTTGTCGTCATTTGTAGATGACCTGCGCACCGAATTGAAGTATGTATATAATTGCCATCAATCTCATATGCTGGAGTTTCCCATTCAATGAGACTTTTCGTGAAACGTTTTCAGCGCTTTTCTGGACCTGACCGAGTGATATCTGTTCACAGGTAAAGACGACTCCGGGCAACGCCAAACACTTGCTGAAGTCGCTCGATATCATGTCTTTCTTGTCGCGAGTTCACAGCATTGGAAGTAACTGAGCCTTCCTTAGTGTCTTCAACCATATATTGAAGGGGTCATTCATGCAGATAGCTTTCACTGCCGCCAGTGGATGGATGCGTTGCTGTGCTTAGCTCATGTCATTTTGCGGCCTCCGTCTCATCCCTGTTGCACGATTGTTCATTTTAAGACGATGGGGCTGCTAGGGTTACTTGGTGTGATTAAGCATGAAATACTTCTCAGCATCGCAGCTCGTTGTTGCAAAACATTTAGCATTAAAGGGACTATCCCACCTTTAACATGGGGTTTGAGTTGAGATAGCCAAGTTTGCGGCGAGGTTCAGAAACCACTATCTATCTAGGTTGCAACCCCCGCGGCCTCTTGGTGTTGAAGAAATTCGTTCCCTTCATTTGAAAATGGGCCTTGTACAAGGCCCTATCTTCAACATGGAGCGACCGTTAGTGTGACGTCACCTCGTTTAGTCATTCTGATTTAAATGGGTTTGTTCGTTGAAAAATCGCTTAAAACTTGGTCTGAACTTTGTTGTGGTGCCTACAGAGTAAAAAGAATCAGCTTTGTGACAGTAATGTGGCCTGGGGAAGGAGGTAATTTTGGGCTGTGACGTCACATATTTGAAAGTTTGTGTTTGGAATATGGGAAGCCTAAGATGTTAAATGAAAAATAAATGCCAGAACCAGGTTCCTGGTCATCCAATCTATAAAGTCGGGCACAATTTAACTGGTTTTAACAACATTTTAGAAGGTGGGATAGTCCCACCAGCATTTGCGTCAGGCTGTACTTTGGTTCACTCGTCGCATCGTGCTCCAAGTTCAGCCAGTCAATTAAGCTGACAATGATGGCTGAATGAGGGTATTTGTTTTTTTTTTTGCGAGCCATTTTGGGGCTGTGTGATCTGAAGTGACTGACAATCTGAGAACTGGATAAGGAATAGTGGTGCCTTGAAAACTCAGCCTCAAGGTGCTCCACCTGAGTAAGGTAGTTTGAATACATCAACGCGAGCGTAGAAAGAAAGTTTCATCGTCTTCATCAGCTGATCCGTTTCAACTTAAATCCGCGATTCATTCTGCAGTCTGAACCTCAGCTTCTTTTGTGCGTATTAACAATGCTGGCAACATCTAGCCACTTGTATGTTTCGCTTAGAACCATCATCTGTCTCGAAAACATCGCATCTCTAACTCTAGAAATGGCCGTACCACGCACACGCACTTCAAGTTTGGAAGCCTTGTCACACAAGACTAAGATATTAAATTATGTTAGCTAATCTGCCATAAATCCCTCGGTATGCGACAAGCACAAAAAAGTGTCATCAGCTCAGCAACGTATCGTCACTTTTCAGTTCACTTGAAACCGATAAAGGTGCGGACTAAAACGCCTGTGCTTCGTACCGTACCTATATTATCACGTTACACAATCGTTCCAACCCGCATGTTCAGCACAACTTTTCGCTTCACTCGTCGTCGGCAGGGATGCCCAGCTCCTGGTCGGTCCATTTGGCGGCGTCTGGGTATTCAAACTCTCCCTGGAACGTGAACAGTAGGCGTCAACACAACCGCTGCAGTGGGCAAGGGCGGTATCGGGGCGGCAACGGTTCCTCTTCTAAATCCGTGATTTAGTCGCAAAAGACCGCAACATTCAGCAAAAAAAAGAAATCGTAAGTTTTCTTTTTGAAGAAACACGCAAATGCATAGCACATCTACATATTGCTAGCAGGTATGCCTTTTCACTGTCTTGTTGATAATCTGAGAACCACCAATCTAGGCACAATAAGATGGAGGTAGGTGCAGAGATAGAGACAGAGACAGAGACAGAGAGAGAGAGAGAAAGAGAGAGAGAGCGACAGAAAGACAGTTAACAGACAGACAGAGATGGAGAATAGTCAGAAACCATGTATGTAAATCAGCCATAATGTCTCATTTTTTAGGGTGTCAAGTTTTTTACCTGCAAATTTGCAAGCTCATCCAGTAAGTGTCAGACAAGGGAACATTTACAAAGTGAGCTTACAGTTTACTTCTCTGAGACTTGTCTGCAAGATCATGCCTTTTAAATTTCCAAGTAAAAACATCTATTGCATTATTCTGGAAAACCATGGCAGTTTGCTGGTAATCACATGCACTTGGTACTTACAAAAAGATGTTCTGGCTCGTACCACATGTGGTATAGGATCCAGTACCACATGAAAGCCACTATCAGGTCACCGGCAATCACACGGCCCTTGGGATGCTCTGTGGCAATTGCACGGTAGTAGTACCTGAAATGCAAAAATGGGCATCTTATTAACTGTGTTTGTAATTATACTAAATTTTATTCCTTAATTTTTATTCCAGGACAAAAGTGTTACACTCAATTGTGACAAATATAGCTAGAGCAGTTGAAATTGTTTTGTTTGCTTAACTGCTGCCCTTGATACATATCCACTGCTAGTACCAAAACAGCATTGTGTGGTGAGCAGTGCACATAACAATAATGTAGGTAAGTGAACTTCGCTAATGAAGTCAACTATTTCACTATTTTTGTGTTTCCATTCTATTTAGTGTGAGGAAGATTCCGATCATACCAGGTTCAGGTTGCTCTCCTGGTCACTACGAAGCTGATTTTCAACTGGAATTATCATCATTGTTTTCACTCAATACCAGCCATCTATTCCAGGAATGTATGAAATGTACAAAACTTACTTAGTGCCTTGAAGTGGAGTGGACGACGATATGCATCTCCGGCCCTGTGTCCTGATGACAGAGGCTGCAGTAGAGCCACTTAATCTTGCAGCAGCCTGTGAAAGCCTTCCGAAATTCCTCAGCATTTTCACAAAACCTACAAACCACTCAAATTATTCACCACCGAACTGCTACTGCACTCTACAGAAATCCAAAAAGTTGAAAGTTTTTTTTTTGTGTTGTTATTCTTCGCGTTCTTCACTTCTCGTCGTCTCTCGTCAAGGAATTGTCGGTTTTGGAGACTTCTGATACTTCTGATGATGATATAAAATGACGTCATTGAAAATAAATGAAAAAGTTACATTTGATTTTTGAATGCGGTAAGTATGCTCTAACACCAAAAAATGCCCCTTGAAATCTCATTTCATGCACAAACGGCGTATGACTTGCTTACAATGAAATTCAAATAAAAACAAGAAATTTGTGAATGTATTTGATACCACTGACGTCATTACACCACAATCCACATTAAGAATTATTTTGGAATTATGTGGGGGACTCTCGAAAAAGAGGAATGTAATGATGCGTTCGTCATGATGAGCACGTTCGTAGTGGAAATGGTGAAATTAGCTCTCTCTTCTTTTTATTTTTCGCGACAAATGATAGCACGGATGCACATTGCACAGTGTAGGTATGTACTGTACCTATATAAACAGTATTCTTCACAGTGTATATAAATACACGGATGAAGACACCAGGGGCGCGGGAGCTACTTTCAGACTGGGGGAGGGGGGGCAGTAGCGGCGGAACACCTTCAATTAAGGGGGGGGGGGCACTGCCGACTTTAGGTCCCATTCTTTCCATGCAACGCCCATAGGGCTAATGTTAAAATGCCAAAATCAAAGGGGGGCACGGTGGCCCGATGCCCTCCCCGTTCCGCCGCCTATGGGGGGGGGGGGGGCACACCATAATAGAGATCAACCTACTTTAGGGTACCTACCCCCAAATCTAGTTTTCTCACCGGTTTAGGCCACTTGTTTTCATCCCTTGGCTCTTTCAACAAAAAAGAAAACATTTGCAAAAAAAGTGCGGTATTCCGTCTCAAAGTTGTGGGGGCACCGCCCCCACTGCCCCCCCAACCCCCACCCCCCACCCCACCCCCACCCCGGTTCCCGCGCCATATGGAAGGCACGGATGAAGGCGGCGTTTATCAGCTTAGGGCTTGGGCGGCGCCAAGGCTGGCGACATGGTCCGTGGACATGCGTTAATTTGAATTGTTGCTAGAATTAATTTACAACATGTTCACATTAACCTTCGCCCCAGTGGGTGGGGGGGGGAGGGCATATGTTACCACCCTGTCGCGTTTTTTGCGTGTGAATAAAAAAAAAAAACGCGGCGCGTACCGCCGCGCCGCTTGGGGTAGCTTTTGGTACATCAATTTTGGACAATGTGTGAAATTTTTGACCCCAGGTCATGTCGGGTCAGGTCACCAGGTCAAGTTCACTGACCAAGCCTAAAATAAAGTTTGCAATCATGTCCAGCCTGCAGTGTTTGTCAGAAAGGTTTTAAACTTGGTGGATTGCATGATGTTATGGGCGCCTACAATTTGTATATCTCAAATTTTTTATATCTTTGACCTAAGGTCAGGTCAGTGGCGTGACCTTTCCATTAGAAGTCAATGGAGAAAAATGAAAATGCCTCTAGATCCGTGTGTACGCATAGGAACAGTCCAAATATTTCAGAATCACAATGATTTGGACCACCCGTGATGACCAGGGTGTCATTTTTGTTGATAGCCTCTAGAAAGGTCATCCGAGGTCATTTGAGGCTACAAACAGATTTTTGCCAATAACTCGCGATTGGAAAGAGATAGAACGCTGGGGATGGTCTCATTGTGTTTGTCTTGCCGAGACGCATCGAGTGATATGCAACAATTGCAACATGACCTTTTCCGGTCAGGTCATGACCTTGACATGAGGTCAAATTTTCAAGTTGAAATTATAGTTCATTCGACGCGTCTTGGCGAGAGGAACACGATTCTGCCAATAGAAATGTGGTGGCTTTTTGTAGTCGAAAGTTATTGTCGAAAAACACTTTTCGTAAAAAACAGCTATTTTTGAAGTTTTTGTCCTCTGGAGGCTAAACCGTTGACCTGAGGTCAACTTTGATAATGACCTTATCAAAAGAAGAGTTCAAAAGCTATCGATTGCTTTTCCATGCGTTTTTCTAGCTACCATAGTTCCTGAGATAACGGTATGTTTTCTGAAAAATATAATGACCATTGGCAAATTTTGACCTTTGATGACCTCTGGTGACCCCAATATTGCTCTAAGATGAAAAATGACTGAAATAATTTCAAACGTACGCATTGATAGCTATCGACTGCTTTTTACCGCGTCTTTCTAGCCCTCTTAGTTTTTGAGTTAGAGATGGGTGGTAACATATGCCCCCCAGGGGCGGATCCAGGGGGGGGGGCTACTGGGGCCGATGCCCCTAGCCTATCGAAAAACGCCGCCCCTCCGCCGCCTTCGGCGGCGGAGGGCGGCTTTTTTCGATACGTGATGAAGTGCATTTTACGGAAATGACCATTTCTTTGTAGTTCATTTCATAATAATCTCTAATAGTTACTCTCTGAATTTATATTTAACCCTCAGAGTATGTCGCTTCTCTTCCTGAAGTCAGAGTGCCGCCCCTTAATTCGAAGTACCGCTACTTAAAGTCATATTGCTACCCTTTGAAGTAGTAGTGCCGCTCTCGGAAGTCGAAATGCCGCCCTCGGAAGTCGTAGTGCCGCCCTCTGAAGTCATAGCGCCGCCCTCCAGTCTTCGTGAAGGTCCTTAAAGTCATTGCGCCGCCCTCTGAAGTCATAACGCCGCCCTCTGAAGTCATAGTGCCGCCCTCTGAAGTCATAGTGCCGCCCTCTGAAGTCATAGTGCCGCCTCTGAAGTCATAGTGCCGCCTCTGAAGTCATAGTAGTCATTTGCCGGTCCCGTAGCTCAGTCGGTAGAGCGTTGGACTCCGCGTGGTGAGAGCACGCGTTCCCGGTTAACCCGCGCCCCGTAGGGGGGGGGCCGAAACGGCCCCCCCTGTCCTTTTCGGTCGATATCTCCTAAACGGCTGGAGATATCGCCACCAAACTTTCAGGACCCCTCCGGGCATCAATTTTACACATTGTGACCAAAAATTTTTCCAGAGGCTGTGATAGGTTGGCCACAAATGACGTCAGAGTGACGTCATGTTCTGTCATTTTCGACCGAAAAAAGACCTTCGCGAGAAGACCTGTCAGGCCTACAGCTTTAAAGATACAGAAAAATGATCAAGACATAAAAGGTGTAGAATTGACAGGGCTACAAAACTGCTATCTCGGATTTTTGAAATTTTTGAGTTTTGATCCCCAAAAATCAAAAAAGCATTTTTTTGGATATATTAGCCAAAAAATCCAAAAAGTTTTTTGAGTTTCGAAAAAACCGGAATATATGTGATAGTACCTACCGTCTTCTATCTACATACCAAATTTCAGATCGATACCTCGTTTTTTGGCCAAGTTATAGCGAAAAAACTGTTCAAAAATGATGACGTCAAATTTTTCAAACTCAATTTTTGGCAATTCTAGAACTCGTAGAGCAAAACAAAGACCACCATTAGACTCCCCGTGACGAGCTGCATCGAATGGATACCCATTTTATGCAAAAATATCAATTTTGAAATTTGACCTAATTTGACCTGACCTTGACCTGACCTTCACCAAAACGTGACCTAGGCTGGCCCCAAAGGCTGCCTAACCCACATAATCGCATTTGTCATGTAAAATGCACCATAAAACATGTATCACACGACAGATTCGTATTGTGACCCCCGGTGACCTGACCTCGCTGTGACCTGACCTGGTATCAGTGACCTCAGATAGCAAAGTATGTGTTTGACGAACAATATACCATCGATGGTTTTCAATAAATTACCAATTTACTCGATTCCACAGCACATTTCTTGAATTGCCTGTGAACGGTGAAAATCTGACCTTTGACCTGACCTGTGACGTCATCGGTCTGACCTAGGTCAATGAAATTTGGTCACAAGGTAGTTCCCGGGTAGGGCTATCAAACGCCGTTTGAATTTTGAAAATCGGCCGGTAACTTTCCGAGATCTTAGGGGGGGGCCGAAACGGCCCCCCCCCCCCTACGGGTGGTAGGGTCCGCCGGTAGCCCTACGGGGCGCGGGTTAACAGTCCGGGTTCGAAGCGCGACGGGCGCTTGACATTTATGGGCCTCCTGACAGGTATGGTTGCGGTTGGTGGCAGGCCGTAGCCAGTAGGGCGGGTCGATGGAAAAAGTTTTCAAGTGAAGAGCGATTTTCCTACGGGCCGATCCATAAAACGGTTAAAACATATTTTTTGCGAATTTTTGAAAAGGAACTGGGCGCGCCGTCAACGGTTTTTCGAGACCACTTTTGCTAATTTTTCTCGTTGTTTGCAAAATTTAGTGGGAAAAAATCGAGAAAGGTACTATATTTACCACTTTCCTCGTTCTACATGCTTACCCCCACCTCTTCACAAAGTTTGGAAACCCCAGTGGCAGAATCGTGCTCAGGATAGCGATTAGCATCGGCGCTCTGAGCGCAACGAAACCAGCGCCATCTATTGAGCGAGTTTGGCATAACATTGATTTTGACGGCTTTCCGACCGTTAAAGCTGACGCAGCCGCTGCCACGTCGGGTATATGGTGTTCTTTGGTGTTCCTAGGTGTCTGGTGTTCCTTATTTGACATTAGGTGAATTGTACCCATTCGATCCGAAATACTTCAGGAATCATAAATTGCTCCGGAAGCTATACCTACCTATAGTGATTTCGCCAAGAAAACAGCGAGATGCTTAACTTTGATATATGTTTATCAGTCAAATTAAGTTTTGCAGACAGAACAGATAACATCAGTCCAAACCGTATGCTCATTTTTGAATGCAATGTAGCCAGCCACCTAACCGTCCTGGGACAGAAAATCACACTTCGATAATTGATTCAAACGCCGGCATGAGAGCGTTGCATTGCGTCCTGATGCCTGATGGCACACGTGATGTAACAGAGACGTGCTCTCTTAATAACAGCAACGTATGCTGCCTAAGTTAGGAACCGGACGGCTCGCTCCACTGCCTGAGTAGTGAGTATGGGTATGCACCGGATCGAAATTAATTTGTTAAGCAGCGGGTCGAAGGTCACCCTCTTCCAGCGGGATTGCTATTGGTGACTCTGTAACGCGTTCTTTGGACCGATCTATGAGCTGCATGTAGTGCATGACTTGTTTATTGCAAAATGCTGATAGAATCGCATATCTTTATGTCTCCTGCCTCATTCGCTTCCTATACTTTTTTGCCATAAGTGTCTCGAGTCTTTTTATCACCATTCCTTAGTTCAGCAAGCATCGCAGTGTATGCACTGTTTGCTGGCTGTCTGTATTGGCCAGTACAGCCCCCAAAAAAGTTTCCTATAGTGAGCCCGGTACTTATTCCTGTCGATCACTGGGCGAATAACACAGACCGATGAGCTGAGAGGTCTCGCAATAGCTGGATGCTTTGGAGTAATCCGTCTCTGCAATGTTTACTCCGTAATTTCGGACCACATTGG